GGAGGGGCCTGAGGCTCACGGCCGCCCGGCACAGCCGCGGAGCCCGGCGCTCGGAGGACTCAGGGGCGGAGGAGCGGGGCTCTCTACGCAGCTCGGGCCCTGCCCTCCCGACGCGTTCATCCGCCTTAGCTCAGGCTCCGCCAGCCCTGGGCACTCGATCCGACCACCCCGTCGACACACGGGGACGACCAGCAATCCTGCCCGGTCTCGGAGTCCCGGGGCTCCTGGGGCCCCCGGGGCTGCTGACAGCCTCGGTGGGCCTCCCCAGGTACTCAGAGGGCAGCGGGTGCGACCTCTGCGCCAGTCGCCTTGGATTGAGTCCCGTGGAGACTGGAGTGGGCAGTTGTAAATAAATGCGTGTGGCTTTTGCTGTCAACTGCTTTTCGGACCTGCTGTCTATTGTCTAGACTGCTGAGGAAAGAAGTTCCCTAAAGTTAAGAGAGGGGCTTGTTTGGAGTCTGGTGCTGTTTTCTTTTGTTTTTATGGAGAACTTGGGTCACATCGATCACGGAGTGGCCAGGCAGGCTGGCTCTCAGGGGACCAGTCGCTAAGCACCTTGCTAGGGTTTCCAGCTGCACCGGCGCCCACAGCGGGCTCCTGCGGGGTGTTTCAGGAACAGAAACCTGAGGATGTGGCTCTCCTCCCAGCTGAGAGCTGCACTCAGGTCTTCTTGGAGCTGCCAGCCTGGTTGGAAGGGAGCTGAGATCAGAGTGTCCATTCTGACTCTCCCAAGTGACTAAATAATACAGCCCTTGAGTGAAATCAGCAAGGTGGGGAGAGGGGGCTAGAGGGCTTGGCTGCCGGTAGAGCTGCTTAGGAGGTGGGGCTTTCACTCCAAGTGGTTGGGCTGCGGTGAACCCAGGCTGGTAGGAGGCCTTAGAACATTTTGCAAAAATAGCTGACTTGGGAGGCTCTTGATACAAAGTGGTAGCTGGAACTGCTGAGTGAGTGTGTGACTGCTTGTCACCCAGAGTGGTGGCAGGGATAGTATCAAGATCTAGAAAGCCTTCACTTCCTTTTCCATGCCCCCATGTTAGGCAGCACAGGAGAGCACTGCAGACTTGTTTTGAAGGGCACTGCACCTCACTTGTTCGTTTCTTGTGACATTTTGACAGGGGCAGCCTTTGCACAGGACTTGTTTCTTGTAAGCACATACTAGTGGGTGTCTTAAGGTGTGTTCTGCATCTTTCAGTCCATCACTGAGAGAACCGTAAGGCTTCTAATTTTAGGAAACCTTCCCTAGGCTTTGGGTGGTGTCCCTTTGGCACCAACACTCACCCAGCCCTGGGTCACAGTGTTGCCAGTCTCTTGGTCTGCACAAACGTGTAGTTCCCCCCCCCC